TCAAATTTTTCAGGCGGAAATTTCCGGAGGTCATGTGATATTCCGTAAATCGACGCCTAATTAAATTTCCTGATGTTTGATCAAAAATTTAAATATTCATCATATATTTTTGTACGATTATTAATAGTGTTGTCAATATTTATATTTGATAATAGATGTAATATGTTTGGTTGACCTGTCTGATGTTTAGCTAAGATATTATTTAGCCCACTTTCAATTGCTCCCATTTTAGATTATAAATGTAGTTTATTTTTCCTATCAGGCATTGTTTTACAGGAAACTTTACTTTTAATTACATTAATGTTTACTGTTTGCAGAACCCCTACTTTGATTAAACAGATACTTTTGTTTCTAAGATCATTTATTAAGTTATTATTTCCTTATATGTAGCCTTGGCATTTCTTAAGAGGTGAAATTTCTTTTCCATTGATATTTCTTTCTCTGATATAGTGTGTTAGGATGAGTTCATAGTTATTTATTACTTTGTATCTTTTGTCCAAGATCACACTTGGATTATTGGAATTTTAAGTTACTGTCCATTTTATTTCACTACTTTATTTGTCAATATTTTGTTCACAGGTATTATATCTGTCTCTCAATCTCTTTTTAATTTCTTCATTTGAAATCTATCTTTCTGTTATATTTGATAGAAGTTTTCTTTTGATTAATTTAAACTATCCTGATTTAGGACCTCATTTTTCATTTTTAGTTATTCCTTGTCAATACAATAAATGGTTACCATTATATGATGTTAATTGTTTTATAAATATTATTTGTCAAGTTTTAAGACTTTTTCTATATTGAAAATAATAATTATATTCGTAAAATATTTCCTTAACGATTACGTTTCCTCTTTTTATTAATATACTTCCTATGATTTCCTTAGATATTTTAAATGTAATATTATTTGCTTTACAAATTTTCAGAATGTCATTAATCAAAAATTGACTTTTCAGTATATTGAAAATTTCTGGTGATTCTAAGATTAATTCTTTTGACTAAAAAAGATTTTGTAAGTGTTGTAGTCATATTTGTGTAAAAAACCCCATAGTTCCTTTATCATTTAAATAGTTAAGGAGATTATTACTGTGTATTTGAAATTGTCTTTTCCATAAACTGCAAACATTATATGCTTCTTTGGCGTATAGTAATGCATTAGGTATTGTACAAGTAAGGAAAACTTTATTCTTAATAATTGATATAAAACGAGTTATTATTTTAAGACATTCATTCTCTGTTAAAGTCATATCGTTTAGGCTATATTCTAATATATGAATTACTACCATATTAAAAAATATATTGCTTGTTTGTCAATTATAGATTTACCTCTTAGTATATTTGTCAAGTAATCTGTTAATTTTTTAAGTTGTTCTTTTTGAAACTTTTTTAAACTATTTTCAGTAACATAGACTTTTAAAGATCTAACTGGAAAATCTTTTGTCATTGGTTTTAAAGTTTCTGTTCCCATTCTCACACCTCTTTCCCTATTGGTTACTGTCATATTAATTGCTATTAAATATAATTTACTCTTATTTATTGTAATATCATTCATAACAAAGAATTCATCTACTATTTCAAGGATTTGTTCCATTTGTTCTCTAGATAATACAAACTAGTTTGTATTGTCTACATATATGGCCACTGACATTTTCAAGACCAAATTATCTTGTGTTCCCAATTGTAAATTGCTGATCCAATTCTCTTTTATTTTATAATTAAATTTAGATTCTGCAATTTTGCTAATTAGAAGGTCATAGAAGATTCTCCAAAGAAGTGGTAATATTATATCTCTTTGATCTATTTTATCTTCAACTTTGTATAGCTCAGTATTACCATGTGTGGTTAATACTATGTTTTTTCTATTATGTATTAATTTTTTAATAATATTGATGAAACCCACTGGAACTTTGATTCTATGTAATACTCGCAATAAACAATTAGAATTAACCAAGTTAAAAGCTTTGCTCATATCCTGAAACATGATCCAAAGTTCTCTATTGTTTACCTTGACATCCTCCATTATATTATTTATCACGTAAATAAGTTTTTGTATGTTGTCTCCTGATAAACTAGCATAGTTGTATTTTGACAAATTTTATTATCATTGAAAATAGTTAATAGTCTATTGTTCAAAATTTTCATAAATATTTTTTGGTTTGCTTTGAGAAGTGTAATTGGCCTTATAATATTAAGGTTATTTCTCCAATCATTAGTTTTGAGTATAGGATATATATATCCTAGTTTTCAATCTCTTGAAATGTTATTTAGTTTAATTGACATATTAATTATATCTCTCAAAATTTCAATTCCATTAAACAGTAGGTATTTAAACCATTCGTATTATAAATTAGATTGTCCTGGTGCTTTATTATTTAGAAGTGTGTTAATAGTTTGTATCAATTCTTTCTTTTTTACTTTCCTTAATAGTGGAGAATATCATTTTTTCTCAATCTCTTTTTTGAAATTATATGTTGTCTCCTATTTTTTCATAAGATTTTCATTTGTATTGCGTTTTCTAGTCCAATTGCAGAAGTGGTTCTTTGCTATTTCTTTGATTTCTGTACTATCTGTAATAATTTCAATATTTCCTTCCTTATTTTTGTTAATTATACAGTCCATAACAATCAATTTACGCTATCTATCTAAAATACTATTAACCATTCTTTTTGAATTTTCTTTAAAGTTTTCCTATCGTCACTCAACAACTTCTTATATTTGTTTTAATGTTTCTTTCCTTTTTTCTACCCTTGCAACACTCTGAAAATTAATACTTACTTTTCTTAATGCTTTGATTAAATTTTCACACATGTTCTGTTCTTCCATAATTTTTTTAATTCCAAAATTAAACATGAACAGCTTATATATTTTTCTCTTGAAAATTATGTGATTTTTTATATATGATCAAGATTTAGCTCTTTCTCTTTTGATGAAACAGTATATTTTATTAAGGCTTTTTGTTTTTTTTCATATTTTCAGTAAAATTTCTGTTTATTTTTTATTGTGCTTCTTTTTTCTCTTTTTTGATATTACATGGTCAGCACCTTTAATCATTATATTTTTAAGAGTTTTCCATGTTTTTTTCATGGAGTTTATTGATATTTCATATATCCTTCCTCTTTCTTTTATTATTGATATATTGATTTTTTGTTCTACATATTCTGTAATATTGTATTTATGGCTGTTATTTATACTATCCATTTTTTCCTTACGAATTTGTCAATTTCTTTTAATTTTGAGTTCTACTAGTTTATGATCACTTTCTGTAATTAAATTTAAATTATCAATATAACACGATTTTATTTTTTCTCCCCATTTTTCTGACATCCATATTGTATCAATATAACTTTCTGCTGATGAATTATCTCTTTGCCATATGAAATTGCTGGATTCAGGATACAATGTTCTATAACAATCGATGAGTTCTCTACTGGTTAGAAATAAAAAGATTTCAGTTTCTGATATCTGTAATTGACTATTGTTATTTCTGTCTATACTTGGTGAGAGGACTGCATTAAAGTCTTCCATTATAATTAACTTGTAGTTTTTCATTTGCGCTTGTATAATCTAACTTTTGATTTTTCTATTATTTCTTCATTTTCACATTTTTTACTTAATAAATATATTTGTATTATCCGTATTGTAGTTTTCTTTAGTAATGTCATATCCATACATATTGCACTCCCTTTGAACTTTTGAATATTATATATATATTTATTTATATCTTTTGAGATTATTATTGTACTCCCGTACTCATACCATTAGGAAACCAGTATATTCTATACTTTTTTCTATTATCTATAAACCATTTTTCATTATTTTCTTTACAATTTGTTTTTGCGATATCCATAATATAGTTATAGAAGTCTTCACGTTTAATGTAATCACTAAAACCCCTTACATTGTATGTAGCTATACTTATTATTTTACTATCTATATAATTGTTCTGGTTATTAATGTTATTATTATTTTTATCTCCCTTTAGACTATTATAAAGATGATTTGTTCTTTTATGTTAATTATTATCTTTTTTATTATTTATATTATTATTATTATTATTGTTTGATTCTATTATAATAATTTATTAATTTAAAATTATGGAGTGTTATTGGTTATATATGCCAATATTACTTTCAGAAATTTTTGGTCTAGAGAAAGTCGATGTCGATCTTACTCTCATTTCAATTGTTTCGATTCTGTTTATCATTTGTTGCATTGTGAGAATAATTGTGCCTAACTTGTTATTTGTTTCATGTTTTTGACTTGATTTTAATTTATCATTATTATTAGTGTTATTGTTATTTTTAGTAATATCTTCATTTGTTATTTTTTCGTCCTTCACCTGTTTTGAGGTCCAATCCTGAATCTGTTCTTCTGTTGTATTTATCACATGATATTCTAAAATTTCTAAACATTTACAAAGTTCATTCAGAACTTGTTTGATTCTTTCAATCTTTAATCATCTGAATTTACCTTTCTTATATTTTTTTTAATTACGTTTACATACATTTGTCCTTTAACAAATTTGGTAATATTTCTAAAATACCTTGAATTGTATTGTTTATATATTGTAACAAATTTTTCTATTCTTTCTGTTACTTTGTTTTTGTATTTGTAATCCTAAAATCCGCAAGGACAATTAGCGACAAAGTGATCTGTTTCGTGACAATGGTGATATGTTTTTGTTTGAATATTTACAATTCTAATATTAAAATCTCCACCTTCCTATACTGCTTTGCAAATATTCTCACAAGCTTCTTTTTCTTGAAATGAGATAATAGCTTCACCTTTCTTCCTGTAGTTTCTTGTTCTTGAGAAGTAACAAGTTTTTACTTTCAGTTTTTCGATATGTGGCCTATACGTGTTGCCCAAATCCCAAATCATTTGGGATTTGGGACGCCAAAATCCCAAATTACTAGTATTTGGAATTTGGGATTTGAGATTTCGGCAAAAAATACTAATCATAATTTGGGATTTGGGATTTGGGATTTCGGCATTTGGGATTTCGGCATTTGGATTTTGAATTTGGGTGGCAGGTATAATGTGGCCATAATTCTCTTACTGTAATACTATTGGACAGACTGATTACCCTTGCTACATGTTGACTACGTGATTTTAGATTATTAATTGTTTGATCTAATTGTGTTACTCTGAGAGAATCTTCTCCAATAATAATACTCCAGTTAGCAAGTAATTTTTGTGTACTACTTTTTTCTTTGAAGATGACAATAGCTAACTGTCACATATTATTAATTCTTAAAAAAATTCTTGTGATTTTACCAAACTTCAATTCTAACTCTTGTTTAATATTTTTATTTCTAAATTCTATAATACGTTATTACCAGTGGTCCTTGGTTTCCTCAAGAACTATTTAGTAGAGTGACTTAATAGTTCTTTTAAGAAGTTTATAGTCCTTTCCTGAAGGTAAGACTGTTGTTTCATCTTTTTAGAAGGCATCACTGATTCAGTTATTTTAAAAAGGGAATTAGACCTTTCATCTATTTTATTTCAATATCTTTTCAAATTCAACATCATCCTTAGTGTTAATATCTATCCATTCATCTTCTTTTAGTTTCATTAACTTTGAATATTTCTCCAATTATTTAGGTTCATTATTATTCCAAGTCTGGAATTTATTAGGATAGTTTATAATTAATTTCATTAACTCAGGAATAATAACATTATACAATTATACAATCAAGTATTTAATTCCGTAATATTCATTATTCCTTTGTTAACTATATATTTTATTATTTATCTAATTTTTATTTAATATTTTTAATATTTATTATTTTATTAATTCAATTGCAAGGTAATTTTTACAAGTATTTCTCTTGGAGTTACAAATTATAAAATTAAATTTATCAATTTCAAATAAGTTACAAATTATCAAAATTCAAAATTATAAAATTATAAACTAGAGAGGGGCAAGATAATTTGAATCCCTTTTTATATCTAAATCTAATGATCTTCATTACTGTACCATTGCCATGTCTACTGTGCCTTATTGTATACTACTATTATTAATTACTATTCCTTTATATTATTTATTAATACTAATTAATATTTTATGTTAATAATTATTGTTAAATAATTTTAAGTGATAATAATTAATATTATGAGTTGATAGTTATATTTGTGTAACTGAATATTAAATGAACACGTGATCTTGTACTACTATTTTGCGACTACTTAATGTGTATTACAGTCTACTAAAAGAAATTATTAAATTATTATTATTTATTACATGAATTAATATTCATTAATTAAATTTTAAATATTATTTTAAAGGTTATTATTAATTATTGCAGGTGTTTTTAATATTATATTATCATAATATTTTCATTCTGTAACAATGTCCCACAATTTAACACAATGTTATATTTTTTGTCTAAATTACATTTGAAAATTTCAGCTCTATGCATGTAAGTTGGCTTATTTGCATGTCCACCTACATCACATGTTTTTCCCTTTTTCATTTCTTCTTCATTGTCACAATTTTAATTAATTGGTGTAAAGATTAAATGTTGATGTAATTTTGATTGGCTGATATAAATATTAAATTTTAGTGTAATTTTGATTTGTTAGTATAAAGGTTAAATGTTAATGTAATTTTGATTAATAATATAATTGTAAAATTTATTGAATAATTGTTTTTATTTATATGTAATTTTAAATTAATTTTTATTATAAGGAATGATTTTTATTATTATATTTTTGTAATAAGAAAAGGTGTTTTATTTTAAAAAGGAATTGAGAGAGAGTGAGAGAGAGTGAGAGAAAGAGAGAGAGAAAGAGAGAGAGAAAGAGAGAGAGAGAGAGAGAGAGAGAGAGAGAAAGAGAAAGAGAGAGAGAGAGAGAGAGAGAGAGAGAGAGAGAGAGAGAGAGAGAAAAAAAAAAAAAAGAGAGAATGAAAATTTTAAAAATTATAATGAAATTTTAATTTTAATAATTATGTTGATTTAAAATTTAGTTGACACAATTAAATTGAACTTAAATTTAGTTAGTGCAATTAAATTAAACTAGAATTTAGCTGGCATAATTAATTGAACCAGAATTTAGTCAAAACGAAATCATTTAGCCAGGACACAATTAATTGAACCAGCTTGATATTAATTAAGTTGACCATCTCTAGTTCCTACTATATCTATCAAATCCTTAAAAATGGTATCTACAAATTGAGAAATAAAGAAGCAAAAGTATTAAAGAGATTTGCGTATGGCAATAGACTAAAGTTGTACCATCCCAAAATGGAAATCCCTACTGTTGTCATTGATTATGTTATTTAAGAAACCTTCACCTTTCTCCGTTCTTCAAATTTCATATCAAGCTCTAAAAATTCTTGATTATCCTGGAACACTTTTCTTTCGTTTATTTTTCCATCTAAAGTTGCAAAGAACAAAGAACTTTACTTCTTTGTTTTTTTTCTTTTCTCTTACAAATAGATTAAAAATATTAGTAAAAATCCTTTTAAAATTATATTGATTTAATTATTTTTTTATTTTTTTTTTATTTTTTATTTTTTTTTATTATTATTATTTTTTATTATTATTATTATTATTTTTCTTTTATATTATTATATTTTTATTTTCTTTTATCTTATCCTTCACTACTTATATAATTAGAACATAATATTTTTTTAGTTAGTACAATTGGTTTAGAAAATTTTTTAAGAAAGAAAGAAAAATCATACTTACCTTAATCTCTTGTTGAACTTGTTTAAAACCCAGAAATATTTTTAAATAGTCTTGTTTCCATACTTGAAAAGAAGAATCTACACAACTCCTAAACCAGAATTAGTATAATATTCTTCCTTCTTTGTTCATAATTTCTATTTTTTTAATTTTATAATTGTTCAGGAAAAAAAAGAACTGGAAAAATCTAGAGTTTAGAAAAAGTTTAAATAAACTAATTAAATTAATTAATTAGTATCTATAGATTAGATGTGGATCAACATCCTGATAGTCTATTTAAATTAATTAAAAAAGAATTAGACTTTCATTATGTAATTAAAATTCCAGTAATCTAATTGTGCCATATGAAAATAAAAATAACATAAATTTTCCTGTCACCTCCTTGATCAAGAAACACTTCACTTCACCCCTCACTCTTTGAAAAATAGAGACTTGGATAACACCTAGAATATGAGGAAGGCCATGAGCAGACAAATAACAAAGTCCAAGATACAAGGAATGTTACGGATGCCACAAGAGAAATTATTAAAATCAGCAGATATATAAAGACTATAAGAACTAGCGCAACCTGAAAATAACAACATACGAAACATGAGTCACGAAAATATTCTTACCCCTGTACATGCTGTCACCCTAGTAATTCGGTCTGTCATATAGCAACATGGCATAAGACTATAACAGCTGGAGAAATTAGATATAAACTACATCCTTCGCCCTGACGAAATCATGATGAGAGGATCCATAATCATTTATCTTTGTTAATTTTGGACTTGAGAAGAAATAGTATAAGTATGACTCCCTTACATTTCCTCCTAAGTAAAAATTGGGAAGAATAACTTGCCTATATGTGTGAATCTATTAATACTTTTGATAGTAATATCAGGAATGATGAGAAGCTTTCACTCTATTATCAATTGGGTCTTCTCCTGTATCTCAAAAAATTCAGTAATAACATCAGAAGTATTGTCAAATCCTACATTCTGCCAAATTATCTGTCTCATTTTTGGACAATTGCTAGAAGAGCCTATATCTTGTATTCTGTGAGAGGTAGCTATAATATTCCCAGTACCATCTATATATCGTATTATGTGTTACGATATATGTCAGACAATAACTTTCAAAAATTATTAACAGAAGCAACAGAAGCATAAATAAATAAATAACAAAAGTGAATTATCAAAACTTTTTTTTTCTTTTTATAAATTCCTAAGTTCTCACAGGAGCTCAAACATAAGAAGAGAAGTGTGTTACTATATTTTTTACCCTCTTCATTGTCATTGTATTTTCACTATCGTTCCCATCCATCACACCCTGTTACCATTAATCTTTGTCTATATAGTTTTCCTTTTAATTGTCACTACTCCCCTACTTCTTTTTCTAATTTCTTGATATTACTTATTAACACTTATTACTACTTACCTTCATTTATTCACTTATCTTGTACTATTCACTTCATTTTCATCCTTTTCAATATCTCCTCCATCACAAATTCGTTCTAAAAATCTTGATCCTTTAGTCTCTTTCTCCACTTATATTTATAAATTCTTTCTGTTGCACCAGTCATGTACCACGTAACTTCTGATATACTGCGAATTGCGGATACTGCAGTCTACTGCAGATTACTGCGGAAATTGCTATTTTGCTTAGATGATGACCACTCTTTCTAGTAAAAGACCACTTACCAAGGTGAAGATATAATTGTTTTGAACTGCCACTATCTTCACAGTAGCCAAGAAGCTAAGCAAAACTGGAATTGAATCTATTTTATTATTTTTTTTTTTTTCCTTCTTTTTTTTTCTTTCATCATGTAATCAATTGATAGATTAATTTATATTTTTAGAATAGAATTGAAATATCTATAAAAGTAGCTTTAATTTTTCTTCCTTATGTATCAAAGATCAATTCTTTTCAATCAATTAATCATTTATTCAATAGATCAATTAACCAGTCAATGAAATAATTAATGAATTTTAATTAAAATCTTTAAATAATTTTTAAACAAACTTAAGATAGATTTCTTTATTTTCTTTATTTCTTTTTGTATTTTTTTCTATTTTCTTAATAAAATTTTTATCATCATCAGGAAATTTTTAATAGCAAATATATCCAAATATATTTGCCTTAAATTAATTTGAATATATTGACTACCTGCGCATTTATCTACATTAAATATTCACATATATCCAGATATATTTGCAAATTTATCTGAATATATTTGCATATATCCAGATATATTACAAATTTATGTGAATTTATCTGATATGCGAATTTATCTGGATATATTCACGTGAATTTATCCAGATATATCTGCATATATCCGCATATATTTGCATATGAATTTATCCAGATATATTCGCATATATCAGAATTTATAAATTACAAAACGGAAATAATTTATCATCGTTACAACGTAATAATTTCTTATTTTAATAAGTAAATGTCAAATACTGTATTAAGTAAGTAGAAAGATAAGAAGATTGTGTATCTCCTATAAAATTTCAGACCTATATTATCAAAATTGAACAAATTATGAACAGTTATTTTCGAATACGATGAATTATTTTCGTTCGAAATTTAATCACTTGTAATTTGCTCATTTTGATGATATAGGTCTGAAATTTTTACAGGAGATGTACAACCTTCTTATCTTTCAACTTACTTAATGCAGTATTCAATATTTACTTATTAAATTAAAAAGTTATTACGTTGTAACGATGATAAATTATTTCCGTTTTATAATTTATAAATTCAAATATATCTGACTAGATGTCAACTATCAAAGTTAAGGTTGGCTGAAGTTAGGAGATCTACATAGAATCTACATAGGCTAGTTCTTC